TATCCATAAAATAATTCATATTCATTTAGTTAATGCAACATTGTTGTGGGAAAATATATCATCAGAAATTTCCGGTGTAAAGTTACGTACGACATAATGATGATTATGTTGAACTTGGCAGTTCAATAAAACTACAGGCGTCCTTGGGACACATTCTATATCGTCAAACCTTTTGACATCACCAACTGTACACGTGCTAGTTGAAAACTTGGAATAAAACTGTACACGACTAGAAAAAAAGACCAAAACCAGTGTTCGAGTATTCAAGAAATCCCTTTCAATCTTTGCAGTGGCAAATGGAAAGGGAACAAACATTTGATAAAATTTGAAAAGCACTAACAATTTCTATTGTAACAGGGTCTTTCTTACCCTGTCTGGTACCTAGGAAAACATTTGAAAATACCCCCCGTATTTTTCAAAACACTGAATGAAAAAAGTTATGTACTTATATAAAAAAAACTTGCCATATCACATAATTCTTGAACAGAAAGTGACAAAACCTAGATAAATAAAAAATAGAGCAAAAAAATGACAGGAAGAATTACAATTCAGCAATTATACCGATCAGTTTTAAATAATACTAATTCTGTATTTCATCAGTTCGGACTTCCATTCCCTAATATAATATAAATTGATTTGAAATTCCTGAAAGAATCCGTGAAAAATTAAAATATATTAACCCTAAAATAACAATTTTATCAAACAAAAAACTGAAATTACAAAGAAATAACATCAAGCAACAACAAAAAAATAAAATAATAATACAAGCTGAAAATTAAAAAATTAAAAATATTATTAACAAAGAATGAAAATTAAAAAAGATTCCAAACCAAGTTACGTCACGACGTTTCGATTGTTAGTATCTACAATCGTCTTCGGATAATAACTGGACTCAGTGACGAGTCATCCTGATTTCGTCCAGATTTGGAGACCAGCTCCCCTACCCTTTTGGCTGATTATTGGCCTAGAGAGGGGCAATGGGTACACAACTGATAGATGACGGCATGAAGTCCTTAGACATCAGTGCCGCCCTTCACGGGATACCCCTACCTGGCTGGGGTGAGATGGATGAAGATATTATTCATCTGTTAACGGAGGACATAGGGGCCTCATTCGACAGAGTGTCGGGGCCTTCTATATCGGGAGGGGTCGTCTACAGCATAATTTGTGGCTTCCCTAACTAAAACTGGACTCAGTCCTCCGATATCTGACTATTTATAGGTCATTCAAGCTTTCACCTATCCCCTGTTCCCTCTCTCCGCTTCATTGGTTTTAGCGGGAGATGACCGTTTGGCGGGAGTTGGTCGTTTTCCGCTTGATTAGAGGTTTCCATAATATGTTACTTATCTCTACGCTAGCTTGGCTAAATATATTGTTGGACAACATATACGTGGCTTCTTTGAATTTTCTTCTAAACCAGTATTCTTCCTTGTGGATGATTTCAGCTTGAGCCCACTTGATGTTATGTTGATGAGTCCAAACATGCTCTGCTATTCCAGATTTGCTGGTTTCTCCTTGCTGTATGTGTTTCTTGTGATCAGCAATGCGAACTTTCAATGGCCTCTTAGTTTCACCGATGTATGATTCTCCGCACTCGCAGGGTATCCAGTAAATGCAATTCTTGGAATCGCAGTCCGCGTTTGGTGGCCTGGTTTTCGTGAGGCTGCTACGGATAGTGTTACCGGATCTGAAGCAGGTTCTGATGTTGTACTTGGAACCAATTCTTCTTATCCTCTCCGATAATCCTCTGATGTAGGGAAGTGCAAGCACTGGTTGTGACGGCTTCTCTTCCTTGCGAGGCTCCTGCTGTCTTATAGCCAAAGTCTTTTCTACCATCGCTTTGGAGTAGCCATTCCGTTGAAGATCATTTTTGATGATGTCTAGTTCCTTCTCGAGACCTTCCTTCGTATTACAAAGCCCAAAAGCACGGTCTAATAGAGTCTTGATGATTCCTCTTTTAGTCCATTGATGGTGGTTGGATTCGTGGTTCAGATACTGTCCCGTATGTGTGGGTTTTCGAAACAGCGAAAACCCCATAGAAAACGAGATATTTGCAAAACTGCAAAACATAGATTTTTGTGGCCTCTTACCTAAGAATTTAATAGTCGCATACACCCACCCAAATGTAGGTTTGAGACAACTTTCAGTATGTCAAAATACAAGTTCATACGAGTTTATAGTTTTGTATCTCAAATTCCGAGGTGAACTTACTAGGATGACTGGACTATTTTTTCTTCAATACCTGTTATGTTACATATTTATGCAGTTGTCTCTACTAGCACGTACTGAGACTTTTCGAACACCAGGTATGTATCTACAGGGATAGTCTTTGTAAGTAATGTCACAAATGTCTTCTGGGTGTAATTCAATATCCGTCGAAGTATTAACTGGGAAAGCAGTAGTTTACTGAACTTCATTAGCGAAAACGACTCTGTAGGAAAGGTGGGAAATATTGATCAGTAACATTTTGACACAACTGAATGGGTTTCCTACTCAATATTTCAGCCGAAGAATGCATATCCTCTCGTCAAAAATTGTTACTTAGAGTTGTCGGAGAATAGGTGTTATCTGATTCGGTTGATCCAATCGCTAATAATACAATGTATGATGAGTGGGTTCAACATAAGCCGATACTAGGAAGTCGTCCGTTTTGGCCTTGGACGTCAACATTCACTTTCAAGGATGGAATACCCCGACCGGCAAAACGTGTTAAACCACACGTTGAATAATATGACTTCAAGAATGACGCTGATTTCCAAAGTTCTCATCATATTCTAAACAGTTATTTATTTATTTATTTCATACACTACTTTACAGGATGAAACACAATTACAGAATAGGGAGAAACAGTGGCATTCACAAATAAGTACTTCCATAATATAATTTGTGAATCTATATAAAAAAAAAATTAAAACAGAACTGTCAGTTAGCTAAGAAATGTCTTTCGATTTGTATAAAATAATTTGTAGGACACGACTAACAGAATTAGAGATATCGCACATTGTATAAATTGGGGATTTTTTCATTATATTTGTTCGCGGAGTGTTGAGATACAAAATGTGTAACAATTGAGAGCAGGTAATGCTATTGCTTATGATTTTGAATAAAAAAGAAATGAATAATATTTACGCCTTACCTCGAGACTAGAAAAATTGTGAGTTTCAAGCAATTCATAATAGGGTATTCCTGCAGTAGGATATGATATGAACAACAGATGCATATTCCAGCCTAGATAGGACAAAAGTGAACTAAAAGTGATTTCAATGTTGAAGATTTTTTGAAGTATTTTGTATTTTTAACTGAGAATACATGCATGCGATATGCAGCTGTCAGAATAGTATCAATATCTTTATTGAAAGAGCGGAATGAATCAAAAGTAACACCTAGATCAGTGAGTGTGTCAGGACGCTTTTCGAAAGAATTAGCAAAAGCCGTTGTTTTTCACAATATTTGTGGTTCAAATATGTTGAAATTTTTTTAATCGTAATATTCTGTAAATTTTTTTTTATATGAAACCGAAAAAAATCTTTCCAGTTTACAATACCTTTGTGCATTTTTTTAAAAATCAACAGTGATATTTTTGTGTAAAAATTTGTAAGAAAATGCGAATAACTGAAAACATTCAATTTCAAATGGTTGTTAGTTTTTGTACCCCGTCTGGAATACGGGAGGTTGTTCAGGTTCAACATCAAAATAAAATCTTACCTTATTTGAAAGAAGTATATTTTCAAGAATGATTTTTTTTTGTATAGAGATGGAGAAGTAGAAAGCTAAAAACTCTTTCTCAATAAGCTTACCTATCGTGAATAGAAAACACAGTTTTCTGGGTTAACAAAAAATCAAATTTCCACCGAATTTTCAATTTATATGAAGAAGTAAGTTATTCAATATTTTTCAAATCTGTTGGCGAGATTAGATTGTTCTACGACAGAAAGTTCTAAAGGTGTGTTATATGAAAATAATTTTATTATATTTTCTCAGTGTTCAGGTCAATTATTTTTCTTGCATTTGACCGGCCTATGATTAGGTAATTTATTGATTGGTTTTTTGAAATCCTTTTGTTTCTGCCCTGAATATTCATTCCACCTTTTACACAGTATTTAATTTTTTTTTTAAATTATAAGAGTTACTTTCGGTAAATTGATTTGTATTTAATAGTTTTTATATAGTGTAAAAAAGTTAGTTCCTACATGATTTGTCATGAAACATTGAACAATAACGTTTGATTTGAAAGTGCGTCTACGCACTTTCAAATAAAGTAAATATTCAAATACCTAGCTAACAAACTAAATTGCTTTATTAAATAGGATTGAATGTCACACTGTTTTTTGCTTGTTGATGACATAATACCTACACTCATTATTTGAATGGAGGTAATTATAGGTATTATTTCATTATAAAATAATCCACTCCAAACAAAAAGCAACATTTTATAAGTATCAGTCAGTCAGAAAGTTTTATTATTATATGAAATATAAATAGAACAGGAAGCACAGGTGCACATAGTTTGGCAGGCTGGATATATCTTATATCAATCATGATGTCCCAGGCGAGGACAATATAAAATTCCTTCTGTACTGATTCAATCTCGAAGAGGGGGCGATATTGCCAAAACACGTTTTCTTAAAGACGCGCGCTTATTTGTATTGATCCGTTTTGAATAAAAGAAAAAATGGTAAATTTTCGTTATCTGGACACCCGGCGATTTTGTGACGGCTTCTCTTCCTTGCGAGGCTCCTGCAGAAAAAGAAGGCTGAAAAGTTGCCCTTTTCTGAACTTTGAAGGGCCGTAACTTTTTAAATAAGGGAGAGCGCCGCTTTTTTCTTTCGGATTCGTAATCTACACAACAAAATACGTAAGTACAGTCAAAAATTTTTTCAAAATCGCCGGGTGTCCACATAACGAAAATTTACCGAAAAAATCAAACAGTCCCAAACTGTGTCACTATGTTATCCACTGAGCAAAATTCTCCCTGATATAAATTTAAATGCAATACTCACATTATTGACCGTGGAACAAGAGAGAACATTCTTAGATCTCGGAGATTACCGACAGCTGATTCTGTCCACTTCTTCACTCACCCACTCCCACCTAACTGTAGGACATGCAATATCTTGTGAATACGACTGCGCTAATAAATAGTTGCCATTTCTATTGGGGACTTCCAATTCCCTTTCAAGCTGCTTCCAAACACGCAAGCGCTTAAAATTTGTCAAAGTCACATGGACTCCACCAGCTGTAGGCGATGACACAGAACACAGAACTATTAGGTTATAGTTCTGTGAGCGATGATTACAGTGAACCACAGAACAAGGTTTGGGTTCTATAGTTTACAGTCTGTGGTTTTCCAACTATATGTGGGTTTTGTTGACTGATTCTAGGCCTAACCTTATAATCTTCAGTGTTACTACCTCCATTCGGGTTTGAAGGCCGTCGTAGTTTCAAACTGCAGTTTCAAACGGCCGCGAAAACCTTAACCACTTTAACTTATAATCATATTCCAGATCTGTCAAAAGTTAATCGCTATCTTTTCTCAATCAAAATATAGTTGTGGTTTGCACTAATCCTTTTTCTCTTTGCTCGATGTATTTTGATCAGCGGAAATGACCCAATCTGGAATAAGATTGGTGAAAACTGAGGTCATAACGCACATTATTTCGAGAATGAAATACTTTTGGCAAGAATTAATCAATCTAGAATATTAATGAGAACAAAACGAAACTATCGGTAGATTTCCTAACGTAGACTGCATTTTCAAATACACTCGGTTACTAAAGATACCATGAAACTACTATTTCCTTAAGTTAACCTATATCGTTTATTTCAATCAGAATTACAACAAAATAACAATAAGTGTTCTGTGCACCATAAACGTGTATAGCCCTATACCACCATATAGACATAAACGTGTACGAAAAGTTGCCTATACGCCGTGACTTGTGTGGTATTATATGGAGGCAAATAGTTTGAAATTACATAATGCATAAATGAGTATTACTCAAGGAGATAGGTACTAAATTTTATGAACGATGGTGTATAATTAAAAATATTCGATATGATATAAAATTAGTATTATTCTCGGGGTCTTGAGAAGTACCTATAACAAATGTTATTTCGTAACATGACGAGAAATTTGAAAAGTGAAGAAAAATGTTTATCAAAAACCTGAAATTATTGTCATATTGATAATTTGACTGACATTTGAGATTGAATTTTTTTAATTCGCACATAATGTACTTTTCTAACCGTTCTTGCTAACAATACTTGTTTTGAAAAATAAGAAGAGTATTTCGCCAGAAATCCAGAGCATCAAAGAAATCAGCATTTCATTCAGTTTTATTGTAATTACAGAGAATATAGTTGTGGTCTCAGAGGAATAATACTTGTATAGATTGAAGAAAGTATATTTTTAGAATCTGCACTCTTCACAAAGATGTGCAGATTATTCAAGGAAGTAAATTTCAGACACAAACTGGAAAAAAGTCCTCTAGAAAAACTAAGTAGGTACTTCCATATAAACATTATATTACACGAATGAAAAACTACTTCCAAAAAAGCTACTTTCATATGAAAGTAGTTAAATTATACAAAAAAGACATTTTCCTATTTAGTTGGTACGCCAAATATTCGTTCTGGAATTAAATCAGATAACTTTCACAAGATTGCTACGCAATATCATATATGGAAGAAGAAAAATTTCACTTACATGGAACACTGTTATCCTCTTCTCCTTCTTTTTTTTGTCTGATTGATTCGGCCGTTACTTGATGAAGGTCCATAGCATTTTCAAAAACTACACCTCACGATTTGATCCCCACAAATTGTTATCTTCAATGGCGGACACCGATGTTTCGGAATGAGACACTTGTCTCATTGCCTCGTCACCACCCGATAACGCACTCAATCCATTCATAAAATGATCGACAACCTTATGTCAAGAATGAGTTGATATATAGGTACTCACGTCATCGATGACACGTAATGACATTCATTCGCTTATTCGATTCAAACCCGGCCATAGGGATATTGTTTAGATTGAAAGGGGTATATTTTTAGGCAGGATGAATTTTTGGAAATAAAAGGTTTAGGCTTTCCACTTCTTCATCTCCATACAGAAATAGTGGGAAGATTCTCACATTTTTTTGTATAAAGATGGATAATTAGGAAGCCAAAACCTACAAACTACACCCCTTTCAAGCTGAATAATAACTTCTTCAGAGGATATACTTATAGTCTATACTTAGGTACAGATATACAGACACCCCTGAAGAAGCTATTGTATATCGAAACGCTTTTTTATAAAACTGTGTATTGAAAATCACACAGTAACGTGTTTTTTGAATACTTTATAGATTTTTTATCAAGAATTGACTAATTCCATCATATATATCAAAAGACAAAGGAAAGATCTTAAAAAGATAAAAGATGCTGTTACATACTTTCCTTATTAGATAAAAATATATAATAATTATAATAATGTAAACCTCTTTTCGAGATAGTCTCAGTAGTATGTAGGTAAATATATAGATTGTTTTACAAACATTGAGGAAAATACATTCAGAGAAGAAAATTTTTTACTCAATATACCTGGGCTGAGAGTGATGGGAAATCGAGAAATTGCTTTCATTATGTTTGATTTTCCATCAGATACCAAGATTCCTGACGAAATGAGATTAATGAATGTTTCATTGGATCAATTTCCACTGAATATTTCTCTGCTATGCAGGGTAGACAGTATTATTTATAATGATGTAGAAAGTGTTCAGAAGTACCTCATAAGTACAAGTAAAAATAGTATATTTGAACAAAAAATCAAAATTAAGAGATTCCAAGCCAAGGTACTTCACGACGTTTCGATTGTCAGTATCCACAACTGTCTTCAGGTGATGACTGTATTTTATTGTATTGTATTATATTGGCCGCGGTGGTAGTGCGCCCGACTCACGATCGAAAGGCCGTGGGTTCGATTCCCGCCTCGACCAGATATTTTTCTCGGGAGAATTTATCTGGTTGAAGCTGGGATGATTCTGCAACTGTGTTAGGAATCACACGTTAAAAGGTAAGACCTCGTTAGTCCTTAGCTCGCACAAGTTTCTCAACTTCTGAGAGTTGTCGTTTGTATGGGGGCGACAGCTGATTAACGGAAAAACAGATTTTTTCAAACAGATATTGTATTGCATTTAATTTCGCTGTTATTTCACTACAGGGTGTTTTTTGCTTGATATAATTGTTATTTTCAGCTATTGAAAACAATTTTTCATTTGTATTGGCTCTTTTAGGGATTTCAAATAATTTTATACAATATTAGACAATGGGCTTCCAAACTAACGAGTTTCTAACAAATATGATTCCTTTGTTTCATCATATTTTCATTTATTCTGTTAATTTTTCCATGAATTTGAGATTTAAATTGCACCAGAAATATTTAGTGAAAACAATATAGGCATTTGAATCGAAGGGGTTATATTTTTTAGGGGTGATCAATTTTTGGGAAAGAAAGTTTTTGGCTTTCTACTACTCCATCTTGATACAAAAAAAGAAGGATGAGGGAATCTTCCAAAGAAAGGAAGGAAGTAACTCTATACATGGATGTGTAGATCATGCAAAGTAACTTTCAGACACAAACTGAAAGAAAGTCCTTCTGAAACAGCTACTTTCATATAAACATTGAATTATACGAAAGAAAAAAAATCTTTCGAAACAAATACTTCTATATGAACACTGAATTATACAGAAGATACTTTTCTCTACTCAGTTTGAATTTCAAACATTCGTTGTGGAATAAAAATCAGATATCATTCACATGAGTTCTACTTTGAATGAATAGTTTCAGAAGGACTTTCTTTCAGTTTGTGTCTGAAAGTTACTTCTTTGCATGATCTACACATCCATGTGTAGAGTTACTTCCTTCCTTTCTTTGGAAGATTCCCTCATCCTTCTTTTTTTTTGTATCAAGATGGAGTAGTAGAAAGCCAAAAACTTTCTTTCCCAAAAATATAGGCATGTTATCCAAAAAAAATTATTGGTTTTCAGTAACCATGAAATTTTCACTATTGTGATTTCCTCATTACGAAGTTTGTCCTGTTCTGAAGTAATAATCGATAAATAAATTAATAACTAGGATTTGAGGAAACATTTTCCTTTGAATTGTAGAAGAATTATTAGAACATATAATTGATAATTGGCAAGTGACATGATTAATAGATATAATGATTTTCCACTTCATGTATTGAAGATATACAGTTTTCCCATGTTCCAAATTCTTCTTACACTACCTACGTCTATCACTAAACGATACAGTTAATTAAAGAAGACTGTCCCCAACCCATCCTCGCTGCAAAATTCGAACACACCCTAATATTTTAATTGTATAATTCATATAATGCGTAACTACTGGGTGTATTCTTCTAAGAAAGATCACAAATAAATTTGTTACAGTTAGTTTTTCATTTTCATATTCGAATCCTTGGGACTTCAGCAGGAGATAAGTTAATTTTTTCATTTGAAGTACAGATGAATATTTATTATTGGGATCGAAATGTGTCTGAGGACACAAAAGCTCTTTGACTTTTTCTTCTCCATCCTTTCACAAAAAAATGTTTGAAATTTCTGAAGCAAGGAAGAAAGTAACTAATTTCAAAATAGACTCTTTACAGAGGTGTGTATATCCAAATAACTATAGAACAGTCGCTTTGCTATCAGTGATATCAATAATAATGGAGAAAGTCGTAAACCACCCTATTCTCAAATATTTGGAAGGCTTCAACATCTTGAGCGATCATCAATATGTCTTTCGGAAACAAAGATCAACAGGTGACCTTTTATCGTATGTCATCCATATTTGGAATAACGCAACCGAGAAACTTGGAGAATCAAGAGCTGTTGCGTTGGATATTTCTGAAGCCTTTTACCTTGTGTGGCATAAGGGTTTGCTGGCCAAAATTCGATGCTATGGCTTGTCAGAATATTTGTGTGTATGGCTGGTGTATGGATGGTGGAAGTATGTACTTTCACCATCAACACTGGTGTTCCCCAGGGATCCATATTGTCTCCAACCCTCTTTTTATTGAATATCAACGACTTTTTGGAAAAAACCAAGAATCCAATATATTGCTTTGATGATGACAGCGCACTTGTCATGTCATTTCATTTGGATTCCAGGACATCGGCTACGGAGGCACATCTTCACCGGCAGCAGGAGGTTGCAAATCCTAATGAGGATCTAGAAGTGATTTCGAATTGGGGTGAAAGTAACCAGGTTCAATTCAATGCCACAACAACCCAGGCATCGAATTTCTTCACGAAGATAATATGTCTTGGCCCAATCATGTCCCTGGAATTGCAACAGCTGCTTCTCAAAAACTGGAAACACTGTTCCGAACCAGAAAACTGTACACACCTCAGCTTTATAAAGCTCAGATCAGTATTGTATTGTTCTCATGTATGAAGCTCTGCCCCCAAACATACCCCGAAGTTGCTGAAATCCATCCAGAAAAAAACATCCGCCTGATTCAAAAACCTATTGAAGAATGATGACTGGACTGTTTCTTCAAAAGATAACTATTTATTCGGAGCTTCCACCTATCACTCTTTCCTCTCCTCGCTTTGCTGGTTTAGCGGGTAGTTGATCGTTTTCCCGCATGATCATAGGTTTTCATATGTTGTGTATATCTATGCTAGTTTGGCTGAATACGTCGTGGGATGACATGAATGCAGCTTCTTTGAACTTTCTCTTGAACCAGCGATACTCCCAGTTTGAGACAACTTGATATTATGTTGATGAGTCCAAACATGCTCTTCTATTACCGATTTGCAGGTTTCTCCTCGCTGTGTGTTTCTCTTGTGCTCGGAAATGCTGACTATCTTTGGCCTCCTAATAACATCACGTGCAACCTCCGCCCCTCCGGCAAGAACTACTCTCCCATGAACATTGAATGACACGATAGAAAAAAAACTTTCGAAACAACTACATTCATAACGATGAGATTAGAACCTTTGGTGTGAAAATTGAATAACTTTTTTGAGATCGATTGCCCTAACACCAAACTGATATTTTTGCACTCGACGCGCGCTTCGCCAACAAAGTTGGCATCCTCAGGAGAAGAAAATTGATACCTAGTCTAGTCTGGTTAATCCTTATATACTAAAATTTTTTACCTGGGCACAATGCTCCTTGAAGCGGGTTTAAATCGCTCGTTGGCTCTGGCCGATGTATTTTCTGTTGCAATCTTGACAACTGATTTCGTAAATCCCCGAACTTTCTGTGTTTTGGATTACCAAAACACAGAAATATTACCAAAAGCTGTTGCAATTTATAAGAAGTTTTTTATGTAACTTTCATATTTACTTTATCGAATATTTGTTGAAACCCTCTCGTGAGGGCTTCAACAAAATGCAAGTTTAGGGAAGCACATCGTGAATCTTCGACTTTTCAAAAAGAGGAGAGTAATAACAAGTTTATAGTAATCCCATATGAACCCCAATACACGAGAGGGCTTCAACAGATATTCGATAAAGTAAATATGGAAGTTGCATAAAAAACTTCTTATAAATTGCAACAGCTTCTTGGTAATCCAAAAGATAGACTAGGAAACACAGAAAGGTCGGGGATTTACGAAATCAGTTGTCAAGATTGTAACACCAAATACATCGGCCAGAGCCGACGAGCGATTAAAACCCGCTTCAAGGAGCATTGTGCACACATGAAATACGGAAGGATAGAAAAATCCAGCGTCGCCCAACATGCTCTAGACAAGAACCACAGAATTGGTGAAAACAATCTGAAACTGATTAAGCATGTGCATGACACCTGGCTACTCGATGCATGTAAGAGTCTAGAAATAGCAAAATGTTAGAACAGCATGAATGGCGATAAGGGACCCATCCCGTTTAGTACGCTTTTTAATCTTCTGTTAGGAAGAGAATAATTACTAAGAACTTGCAGGTAGTTCATTACCGAGAAATTCCATATTGGACCTCAGGTATACAACCTCAGGTAACGAACTTTACTATATAAGGATTAACCAAACTAGACTAGGTATCAATTTCCTTCTCCTGAGGATGCTAACTTTGTTGGCGAAACGCGCGTCGAGTGCAAAAATATCAGTTTGGTGTTAGTGCAATTGATCTTGAAAAAAGTTATTCAACTACTTTCATATGAACATTGAATTATACGAAAATCACTTCTTTCTGTCCAGTTTGTACTCCAAACATTCGCTATGGAATTGAATTACAGAAACGCTACACCGTGTAATATATGGAAGAGTTACGATAAAAAATATGGTATGCATTCATTTCGTGCATACCATAACGAATTTATGTAACGGATGGGACAAATCTATTCATGTCATCGATGACAGTACGTTATGACTTTCATACACTTATTTGATTTATTCCAAGCCTTAGGAATTTTTAGGGCGGTTAATTTTTGGAAAAATAAGTCATTTGCGTTTTAAAAAAGTTCATTTCGAACTTTATTGCTTCCTTCCTCTCTTCGGAAGTTTCTCAGATATATAAAATCAAAATGTCTGAAATCAAAACAAACGTATGTACGTGTCATTGTGACATTCAGTAGAAATTGCTGCTGATGTATTATTTTCATGGTTTTATGACAATTTTTATCACTGGAATGCTCTTTGAGGAAAACTCTCTGCAGACGTTGAATTGGAATCTTCATTCCCCTCGCACTTGTTCCTTTCAGATAGTCTGATTTCTTTGTAATAATCGATGTCCTTTGTAATACTCTCCTACATTTTTAGTTTCCTGAAAGCTTTATACAGGACAAGAAAATTTTAAATATAGTATGAATTTTAATACAATCACAACAAATATATTACAGTTGTTAGTCACATAATATATAATACAAAATCGCTGGATATATACTTGTTATTCCTTTTCACTCCTTCGCAAGAAGTTTCTCGTAAAATGCCGCGAAATTGTGTAACTAACTGCCTATTGAATTCAGATCATTTGCCTTGGTAAATTTCAGAAAGAAGGTTAAACAGTCTTTGAGAAATGGGCAGATTTTTTTCAAATGACGACAGATTCATGACCCGGCACAGACTTTGGTCCTAATAAGCATATTTTTCGCCACCCATGTAATGCCTATAGAGGAAATTAGTAGGCAATGAAACTGTCACAATTGAAATAATAAACATTTTTTATAGAAAGGTTGACTTGAAGAACAACAACACTTGCTGACACTACACCATTTTTTCATAATTATCATATTTGTTATTTAGTGTCAAAGTCGCTTCTATTTTATTAATATTATCCCTGAGGTTGCGCTGGTCGTGCCCTATCCCCCGAAACCCCGATACATTCAGGAGGGCGCGCCAGCATTATCAATCCACACCGCAGGACTAAGTGATCATTGGGTCCAAGATTCATGTGCCCGAAGCAAGCGCAGTGAGTCAAGAATGACAGCCTTCCGTATTTGTCCGGCTAAGATTCCTGCCTTAGTGCGGCAACACGGCATGATCTTGAGATTCGAGAGAAGAGAAGGCATCATTCCACCAAGGACTCCAATAATCAGAACAACTACTTCAACTGAGTAATCTGCATAGAGCCTGCGGAGTTCTAAGAGAAAATCTCGATACTTCATCCATTTTCCTCAACTTTTCGGGCAATATTCGCCTCACCGGGGGCTTAAAACTCCATGACGATTATCGTCTTGCTTTGTTGATCAATAAGATTTCATCGGGCTTACTGGCCTGTATGAGCCTGAGGGCGGGTGATGAATAGTTTCAATAAATTCAGCTCCCATAACGGATTCAATATCTCATCAATACCGTAAAAGGGCCGTAGGTGGTAATAAAGCACTCTTAAGGCCGCCTTGTGTCGATGGATATAGGCCGAGACCGCATATGCTGGATATGCTGACAGCAAGTACATTTGGGTCTCGAACGCCTCGCGGCAGGACCTGCACCTAGTGTAAGGAACATCTATACACATCAGGTAGACTAAGGTGTTATTATTATTATCATTATTGTATTTTGATAGTACATTTTGGCACTTTCATATTGAGTACGTCATGTTTTTGTAAATTCAGCAGAATATTCCTTCATACTCTCCTTCTTTTTCAGTTTTTTTTCTGGAAAGCAGACGAACGTGGGACATTTCGACTTGCCCTGTATACCTGGTTGTCCGAAAATTAATTTTATTGGACTGCCTGTGACTCTGCAGTAAGTAATTCACAATTAGGCTTTATTATTCGAGTAATGTGCCCATGTCGTGTTATTAAATATTTTGGGCGAAGCAAAAACGGCATGCGCGTTGACAAGATGGACCGCTTCAAAAGCACGCGACTTCTGTCGGAGACTTCATTCTGATTCACGGGTGTCGCATCGCTGACATCGAGTGTGATTTGGTTGTGTTCTTACCGGGTGATCTTACGATTTTTCTTCAAAATGGTGAGTCGAAATATGCCTCTGTGAATAATTCTCGAAGTCATTTTAAAAGCGAAACTCGTTAGAAAAAATTTGGTCATCATTTTATATTCATGATAATAGTAATAATAATAACACATCTGCATTCAAAAAGGCACGATTTCACTTGTATTGATTTTGTAATGAAAGTGACATTTGATTTTTATATTCAAACAAGATAGTAGAAAGGGAACTGTTTTCTTCTATTTCTCACAATAATCATAAAAAACCTCAGAAAGTATTAATTGAAAGGTCCAGGAAACGAAAGAATAATACCTTGATTTTGGGTACAAGTACTTTCCCTGAAAAATTTAAAGTTTCAGGATTATTTTCCTCAATGCATGGAAACTACGGAAAAGTTGAAGGTTATACAGCTTTTACAGAGTTTGATAGTTTGAAATGAACATAAATAATCATTCTCATCCAGTGCTGCAGTCATCAACATTATTTTTTGTTTTCAGAACCTAATAACTTCCAGATATTTCACATGAGTCTCAATATTTGAGTGTCGGAACTGTTTTGAATTAATATTAAATAAAGTTCATTAGGTGCTCACCGGATACAATAATCCTTGAAAAACTTTTGTTCAATATATGACTAGAGTCTCATCTTCAATTTGATTAAAGTAAAACCAACTTTCTTGCATTATATACGATGTTTTTTAAAAAAATAGGTTGTATATTCACTTTTTGGTATCTCCTTGAGCTGTTTCAGCGTCAATCGTCGCAAAACGCCGTTCTTTCATGGGTCTGTTAAGTCTTGGGAACAGGAAAAAGTCGCAGGGGGGCAAATCTGGCGATTACGGTGGCTGAGAAAGGATTACGGTGTTGTTTTTCGACAAAAAATTACAAACAGCTGAAAAGGTGTATCATCCTGATGCAAAAGCCATAACTTGTTTTTCCACAATACCGGATGTTTTCTTCGTATTACTTCTGGCAAGCGGCGGATAACTTCTTCAAGATAATATTCCTTATTTACCGTACGACTGTATGACGGTAATCGAAGAAAAACAGTGAGCAAAATCTTGAGTTTTGATCGAACATGGCGTGCTTTTTTGGTCTTGACTCTCCTGGTCTCTTCCATTGGGACGATTGGACTCTGGTTTCGATGTCATAACCATATATCCATGATTCGTGACCAGTTATGTCCCTCTTATGATAATAATAATAACAGCTTTATTGTCCAACAGTTACCCAGGACAATATAAAATTTTATTCACAATACTTAACTATAAACGAAAAATAAAATGAACAAAAAAGAAGAAAAACTGATTCTAATTACCTACTTCAAGTAGGTAATTAGGTAATAATGTTATGAAGGTTAGTGAAGAATAAATCACCATGGGCACAAATGCTATTGAAATTTGTGCACATAACATAGATTGGGGAATTGAGCATATGTTAGTTCTTGCTCTGAGAGGTCTAAAAATGGATTGAGATCGTGAAGCTGGGCGTGGTACATTGAAGTTAATTTGTTCAAGAATTTGAGGACAGTCAACTCTCTCATTCACTAACTTGAATAAAAATATGAGCGACGCACATTTTCTGCGATGCTCTAAACTAAAAAGTTTCAAACGTTCATATATGACATCATTACTGATACCTCTCTCTATTCTGAAAATTAGAAATTTACAAAACTTCCTTTGAATTCTTTCAATGGCTATATTATGAATCTCATAGAATGGACTCCAGGCGATACTTGCATATTCTATCTTCGAACGTACGTAGGTGAAATTCAACAGCTTCATGGCTTTAATATTATGAAAGTTTCTACAATTTCTAACAATGAAACCATAGGCTCTGAGAGATTCTGAAACTTTTTGTGAAATATGTCTACCAAATGTTAATTTATGATCGAATATCACCCCTAGGTCTTTGATCTCATTACATCTCAGCAGATCTGAATCCAGTATTACATACGGGAATGTATAAACCTCTTTTTTTCGACTATAACTCACCACTTTACATTTCTCCACATTGAGTTTCAATTTATTATTGCTACACCAAGCAACAACAAATTCTAATTGAGATTGAAGATTTACATAATCACCCACTTCCTTAATTATAGAAAATAATTTCAAGTCATCTGCGAAGCATAACCGCTCACAAGCTAAACTTTCACATAAGTCATTGATAAACAATAAAAACAAAAGAGGACCTAGGTTGGAGCCCTGAGGTACACCAGAAGAAGCTATATATGTTCTATTTTTTTAACCGTTATAGGACACGAATTGTTTTCTACATGTCAGATAGGATTGCATCAGCTGACAGGCAGTATTCGAAAAACCGAAACTCATCAGTTTATTGAGCAAGACACCATGATCAATTTCATCAAATGCTTTAGAAAAATCCGTGTATATAACATCAACTTGGCCATTGTTATCTAATGCTTCGGAAATAAAAATTGAGTAATAATGACTAGATTTGCAACAGTAGAACGCTTAGTAACAAATTCATGTTGATGTTGAGATAGTTGCCGTTGAACAGAAGCATATATGCGATTATATAAAATAATCTCAAAAATTTTAGAAAACGTACATAAAATAGATATGGGTCTGTTATTCTCTATTTCATCAATTTCTGAACAATCAATGCATAAATGACGGGTTTTTGGTCAAAATTTAGCAATTCTAGAACGAACTTTGCTGTCACACGCTTCATGCCCAAAATTTACGAAAAAACTGCAAGGTATGAGCGATATTCTATGAGGACATAGAATATCGCTGATCGATTTTGTGAAATTTGAATATTCACATTATTTTTTGAACAGTCAGTACATGGGATGACCAGTAATCAAAATTTTGTGAATAAGAGTGAGGAGATGAAGATTACGCGTTTTTTCGAAGCTGAGTCATCCGGAATTGAAGTTATTTCGTCATCCACCACAAAAAATGTCTGTCTGAAAGCCTGACATAAGTAGAATATAAATACAAATATGTAAGTATATTACTATTGTATTTCTCACCATTGATATTTTAAACAGAATTGAATTGAGAAAATTAAACGGATCCAAAAAAAGTCAGTGAAATTCAATGCAGGGAAATATTATTTCATAAATTTGTGACGATATTATTTACACTATTTCCCATTTGAATAACTGAAAACTGCAAATTCGGAATTTCCTGTTTGATTCACTCATTTGCTTACTCAGATTATTTTCTACTTCTCTTATCGTCCTTTTAGTTTGCAAAAAAACCAGGTCAGCACTGTGGATGACAAAATTTACGATTTAATCATGCATCACTTTACAATTGCTTAAGAGAGATACATATCAAGTCACTTCTTTTGTTTTGTAAAAAATTCAGTGCAATTTGAAGTAAAATGACTTATTTCTTGTGAGTATATCTTGTATTATGTTCATCAGAGGTTCAAGTGCTTTCATATGTAGAAAACACAAGTCAATTAATTCCGTTAACATAAAAAATTGTGTGCTTGGGATTCGATAGAGACGACAAAGGCCGTTTTTACCTGGTCCTGATTGGCGAAGGTTCTACTGGTGAGAAAGTTGTCGAAGTGCTTGAAAAGATGGTAGTCGGTAGGCTAGAGGTCTGGTAAGTATGGTGGGTGAGGAAGAACTTCAACGCTCAATTCATTTAACGAAACGTGATAATTTCTATCGATCGTTCAAAATATGCAGCATCAATGTATAGGGTACGAAATTATCTATCGATCAGTATATACTGCGACACAGTGGAATAAATATTTATTGAGATGTGGAGCAACTAAAATACATGACATTGAAGCGGACAAAACTTTTGGAACACTCTAATACTTTCATAATTTAGTTAAAGGGGCTTTAAGTTTAAGTTAAACATTTGTTGTTATTTATCTGGATTGTGTCCAGTCATTTCTATGGAAATTCAATAAAAATACATTTAAAATGATTCTCAACAAAAAACACAGTACTCAATTAGTCTTAGTCTCATTGGTGTTGAAGAAAAAAATAGAGTTGCATAGTTTAAACCATTATATATTAATAAGAAAAGAGAAATGAAAATTTCTATATTTTTTAACACTTTTTACCACTTTATTGTATAATTTTGAAAATGTCCGTATAGGACGAAACTGCAGTAACGTTAATTACAAATAAAAGTGATAAAAAACATAGAAAGTTTAATTTCTCTTTTCTTCATTATGATTTCCTACCACGTAGTAACGGCTACATCAATTCATTACAAATTTGTTTGTGATATGACCCTATCACATGATTTGAAAACTAGACAAATTTAAATATCTATAAATACAACATATCAACTCTTGTTCTCCTTTCACATTTTCTTATTTTTTTATTGAATTGAACTAGGTATTCGTCTAACATTCATCTATGAGTGTATTAACAGGTCGAATATTCTAGCTTGACTTCCATAACGTGTATACAAAAATAGTCACTGTTAAACAGATACAGAGAACAGAATGTTCCTCGAATTTATAATCTGTTTGAAAATTTTTCAATAAGAGATTAAGTTTTATATAATAATTACCCAAAATTAGGCCCAATTTATTCGAATTTGCTTTCTTTGAATTCATTCTTCATTTTCCGCTACATAGTTCAAAATTGAACTTTGTTTTATCATTTTCAAGCTCCATCATCTTCATTTAATTCCTTCACCACAAATACACCCTTCAAACTGAGCTCACCTGGTTTAGTTTGTATGAAAAGTATGTAAAAAAATGTATATGAGTTAAAAATCTCAAAAAATAGATATGCGGTAAACCATTTCTCATTCCATTTCTTGCCCCTCTACTCAATGCAATTATCCGGTAACAAATAGATCGATTTTTTACGTATCTACATCATGATTACATACCCACAGAAAAACCTATTCGTGTATTCTACAACTCGTCTATTTCAACCTCTATAATAACCCACCTAGTTTATTTCCTATTGTACTGATTTTCCAGCTTACTTTCCAGAATTTATGTCTGTGGCATACAAACAAATACTTTGTTTGTATGCCACATAAATCTGTGTAGATCATACTTTGA